AATTTTTCATAACATATACAGTACGGAGTATTTAACAATATTGCAGAAGCGAATTTAATATTGACATATCATAAATCATTTCAAAACTTGTCACATCCATCCCGACAATCTCGCCCCATCTACCGCCAGGATCACATTAATCTTTCTGTTTACCTGCGTGTAGCAAATAAAACACACTACACGCTCAGCGGTGAAGCTGAGTAAGCATATCTAAAGCGTCGAACATCCACATAAATTGAATCTCAATTCACAAACAACCATTTGATATCATGCACACAATATATAATTCATTCATGATATTCTCAATATTTTTATTCCAATATCTTAACATTCAACATTCATATTCAATATTCAATATTCAACAATATCCTTAAACTATGCTTAGTCTAAGGTCAATCTTTTTGATGTTTACCAACTCTTAAACGAATTCTAGTTTAAGATAGTTAAACTATATTCGAGTTTAAGGTACTTCTAACCAATTCTTAAACTAATTCTAGTTTAAGGTACTTCTAACCAACTCTTAAACTAATTCTAGTTTAAGGTACTTCTAACCAACTCTTAAACTAATTCTAGTTTAAGGTACTTCTAACCAACTCTTAAACTAATTCTACTTTAAGGTACTTCTAACCAACTCTTAAACTAATTCTAGTTTAAGGTACTTCTAACCAACTCTTAAGCTAGGTCCTTAGTTTAAGGTACATATTTCCGATTGATTTACCAACTCTTAAACTAGCCTTCGCTTAAGGTACAAATCCAGAAAACCGAACAGTAGAATACTAACTGTCGGGTCGGGTGGTATCCCCAAACGAGTTCCTCTAGTTTGGTTTATGGATCCCATACGTACGTTTTAACCCTTGCCACCGGGGTTCATACCCGCAAGGCCTAACTTAAATAGGTATATCTTAGAGGTCTTCTAGATACCTTTCAAATTAACATTAATATGGGTATATCTTAGAGGTCTTCTAGATACCCTTAAGAATACATATTATTTTCACAATCATCAATATATTCATTATGATTTAATCATTCATAATTATCATTTTTAATCAGAATATTCATCAAGATTCAATCATCATAATCATCAATCAATAATCATTACCATAATCATCAATCAACATAATATTCAATAACAATTAGCGGCCTAGCTTCGGGTGTTAACACCCTAACTTACCGTCATGCATCACATAACGTTTTTATTTGTTAAAAACATCATTTTTATTATGGTAAATCATTTTTCCAATGATCATAATCAATTGGTGGATTTTAGAGCATATATTTTCAGAATATTTTCGGAACATGATCTGGACTTGAGAAAAATTGATTTTCATTTTTAAAATATTCAATTAATACCTAAAAATCGATTTTTATATTTAAAATAATCCATTAATAGCTAAAAATCGATTTTCATATTTTAAATAATCAATTAATTGCTAAAAATCGATTTTTATATTTTAAATAATCAATTAAATGCTAAAAATCGATTCTTATATTTTAAATTATCAATTAATTGCTAAAAATCGATTTTTATATTTTAAATAATCAATTAATTGCTAAAAATTGATTTTTATATTTTAAATAATCAATTAAATGTTAAAAATCGATTTTTAAATTTTAAATAATCAATTAATTGCTAAACATCGATTGTTAGTTTCAAAATAATCGATTAATACTTTTTAAATCGATTTTTATATTTTAAATAATCGATTATATACTGACTTCGAACATGGACATAATTCTAATCGATTTTTAGAAGTAAATAATCGAATTTCTGCTACTGTTCATCATCATCTTCTTCTGGTCAGTTTCGAGTATTATCATTTTTAATCACCAAACTTCAATTAAATTATATAGAAATGTCTTCCCAGGTTCATAGATCATTTTAGAATCATTAAAACATATTTTTAACATCGAATTCAAGGTTTATAATTCTTGGTTCTTCAAACATGTCAAACACAAAACTCAACCAAACGACTATTTATGAACGTAAAAACAACCTACATGAACATTCTAGTCTTTAGATATATCTACGGGCTTACCTCGAAGCTTAATGGAGGTTTTGAGAATTTTCCGGCGAAACTTCCGGCGACGATAGCTCTCAACTCCGGCGACCTTACACCAAATTGACAGCACCACTGCGTTCTCCACACTCAAGGCTATCTCCCAGAACGAATTTGATGAAGAATGGTGAAGAAATGGTGAAGTTTTGGTTTCCATTATATAGAAGAAGAATGGAGAATAGGCCAATGGTTCCTGCGACTTCTCTGTTTGAGCGGCTAGTGGAGCAGACGGCGATTTCTTCCCATTTCAAACCCAAGTCCCTGATTGTGACTAATTTGGTCCCAGTCGGGGTACACTTTTTGGTCCAACTTTCTCCGAATTGAAATCCGTTTGCATCGTCGCGATCAGACAGTCGAGCTTTATTCAACGATATAATTTTCATATTTATTTGTAATACTTTTTCCGACATCAAGTGTTTGACTTTGACAGAGTCAAAATTGGTTTATTTGACCTTAATTAAAAAAGGTTCTCACATTTAATTCATATCATTTGTTCTCATGATTTATTTCAATAAATCATTTTAAAGTTCATATTATAAATAATTTCTTCATTTATTCTTGATTTGGGTCTGTACTCTCGTTCCCAATCAAGACCACACAAATAGTCAATATATTGGATTTATCTTTATGAGATTTATCCAGATTAAGATATTGGATATCAAACACATTATTTCGGCCCAAAGTCCAACAATAAATTATTTTAATCAAAACAAATTTGATTAATTTATTATTTATTTATTAATAATTCTAGGGTATGTTTTGGGGCGTTACAGTGACAACAAGGATGATTTGGGTACCTAAGAATCAGTACAAAACAGGTGATAATCCTTGTGTAAAGGATGTTGCTTCTGATCAATGTCATGTTGGTAGTGCAAGCTTGCATCAAGAAGAAAAGAAGATAGATCGTTGTGCTATTAAGAGTGCTGGATCATCTCATAAGTGTGATGAAGTGACACCTCCTAACCATGAGAGTGTGAAGTTTATGACTATGAAAAAACGGGCATTGGGCATGTGTAAAAGATCATTTGATGAGAATCGGTTTGGTGTACTCAGATCCCGCTTGGGTCTGTGCACACCCATCTCTACCTGATTTAGAGGATGCTCTAAGAGGTGTTTCATCTCTAGCGTGGAATACCTTAGAGCATAGATGTTTTTGCTGGTTGTATACATGTCTTTTTATTCTTGCCGATTATTAGTTTTTCAGATGGATCGTCCGAGGGGGAGTCGCTCAATATGGCTCAGGTTGATGTGACAAAGTCTAGGTCTATTTTCATATTCATTATTGTGATGCTCAAGCTCGCTTGAATGTTACTCTTCTCTTTTTGCCCTAATATTCTTAATAAAACCTTTGGTATTTTTTATGCAAAAAAGGGGGAGAAGAGGTTCAAAATAGTTGAGATTCGTTGTTGTCAAAAAATTGCCAAAGGGGGACATTGTTAGTTCCATATTGTGTTGGCATTATTTTTTGACAAACGAATAGATTTTACCTAGAATTATTTTAGACATTTTATTTAGACTTAGAGTCCTAGTATGTGAAGGAAGAGAAAGAGGAAATAGTCTGAAGAGAGAATTCTAATCCTACTTGAATTCTAATCCTACTTGGTTTACTATTCTTAAGAGCCTGAAGAGAGAATTCTAATCCTACTTGAATTCTAATCCTACTTGGTTTACTATTCTTAAGGAGGAAGCCATGGTTGAGACTCCTAAGCACACTCTAACAAGGTTATTCTATTCCATATAATATCTTTGCCCCCCACCCCTTAGGGTTTTGAGGGCGGAAAAATACGAAACAACTGAAGCAAATCCGAAAAAAGAAAAACAAGGTGCAGAGTTTGATAGTGCAAATTTTCTGGACAGCCCGTACGGATTTGATCATCGCCGGAGATCCGACCGTTGAATTTTTCTGAAATTTTCAGAGGATGTTCCCAACACATAGGGCTTCAACGTATTAAATTTTCACGTCAATCGGAGTTACGGATATTCTGTTCTCAAAGTTACAATCTGCATATTGCCGCTAATTTTTGCAGAAAATGCAGCTATGGTTTTATAGATGATCGGAGTACCAAACCTTGTCCGATCGTGTTGAAATTTTAGGAGTCCAAGGACTCGTGGAGCTTCAATCTGAATGGTGGAGATCGAATTCCAACGATTCAATATCGATTTATGAGCTTCGGAACAGCTTGCATATTTTTGTAGATCAAGGAGAATCTTTATTTGAAGGTGTACTGGAATCTACGTTCTTGAAGAAGATCTTTGAGAAGGTGTAGCAAGCCGTGGAGATAGACGCAAACCGAGTTTGTCGTCAAGTCATTCGTAAGTAGACAAATCAATACATTAGAAGGTTCTGTTGTGATTGATTGTGTACTTCTTACGGTGATTTAGTGGAAGGGTTATTACACGGACGTGGGCCTTGAAGACGTAGGAGAATTTGCTCTGAACTGCGTGAACAATTCTGGTGTCTTGCTTGCTATTTTTACTTTATATTCTACGTGTGTGCTTGTGACAGAGACGGTGTTATAGCAATCTGTCAGTCATCTGTTACTGTGATAGTGCTGCAGTATCTTTTCTACAATATAGTTGATTGTTTTGTTTGCATAGCTTGTGTTTGGTGTTATCCGCTGCGCCCCCCACAAACTTACAAGACAAACAATTGAGAGAAGAGTAATGATTCCGGTTTTGGGTTCAAAGCTTCAAACTCAGCGATGAGTTTGGTAAAGGAGTGCGAGGGGAGGGAGAAAATTTAATTCATGAGAGAAAGGAGTGTGAATTTACAATTTTACCCACGTTCTTAACGGAAATGTTAACAAAAGACCATTCGTGGAAATAAATATAATAATTGGAGACTAAATTAATAATATTTAATATGTAAATACTAAATATGTAAAACGACCTAGGGATCTTTTATGGAATTTATTCTAAATTGGTTTCACACGCACTTTGTAGAACACCTACGTTGGATGTCACCCACTACTGGGGGCGGAGGTTCAATGGAGTAGCTTAGCGACCCATGGGGGTTACATATGCTGCTGCCAGAAGCGGGTTCTAGTGACGGAACAACTGTAACTACTGGTGGCAGCGGCTTCAACAGCCACTTTTCTTGCCTGGAATCAAGGGATTGAAGTTGACGAACACGCAACCATCATCAGGAGGTGTTGTTGCTAGAGTTTCTGCCCAGTTCGCCATAGTTAGGAACACGCTACCGTCATCGGGAGGTAACCATTCTTCGACTCTCATGCTCTGTCGTCGTAGTCCGATTTGTAATTTTCGATGACAGAGGAGGAGCGGAACGCTGAATCCCGGTCAAAGGAGTGATCACCGGCCATCGTGGATAATCCGAAAAAGGAGAAAACAACCGGCGAGACGGCTAGAGCTTCTTCTACGTTGTTGCTGGTCGTTGCTGAAATGTGGAGAGGATCTGAAGAATTCTTCTTTTCGATCCAAGTGTCCAAATCTGAAGATGAATGAGAAATGTTTTTCAACATGGATTGCCCATTAGAAATCTCAATTGACCCTCACCGTGTGTTATAGGTGAGTGGATTAAGAAAATTCTTTTTCTTCGTGAATTCCCCCACTGCATACAGAAAAAATCTATTGTTTTCCCCCCTTTCTTTGGCAGAGGAAAAAAACCTGAGCAGGAATATCTTTAAAAAAAATCTAAATTTGAGATCTTCCATATTAGAAAAAACTGACAAATCTTAAAAAATGATGTATGCATCAAAGGAAAAGTGAAGAGATCAAGTTTTATGTGCTCAAGCTCTCAATGAAAGCACCATTGATGGTTTCTGGGGCCTAGGGTGCCTAGCCCAAAAACTCCATTGTTTTAGAAAATGAAAAATGTATAATGTAGAATAAGATGATGGAGTAGAGTTTTATTGATAGAAATCATCCTAAATAGGACTAAAACATAATAAAAGTACCAAAATAGGACTTTCATGTTTTTTTTTTCGGAATAGGACTTTGCACTGTGGTAATGTAACTTTGCATTGTGGTAATGTGGCAGTGTACATATGCAAATTACTATACTTTTTTGGTAATGTATATGACCATGTTTGGTAATGTAAGTCCTATTTTGGGAATAAAAACATGGAAGTCCTATTTTGGTATATTTTCAATGTTTTAGTCCTAGTTTGGTCTTTCTCCCTTTTATTGAATAAGAAGAAGAATAGTGTGTGTGTTGTCATCCTCCTCCTCCCTTCTTTAAGAGGAGGTATAAATAGGGAAAATAGGGTTATGGTTTACACCTAACCTATACACAATAACTAATGGACCCACCCAACAGACTGAGCTGCCCAAATAACCAATCAATGCAAGAATAGGGGGCCGGTTTAACAAACTGCACCGTCCTAAATAACACTATACAAAAACCGAATACCCATGTCCAGGGTATTCATCAACAATGTATATACACACGTCGAATGTGTGTGTGTGTGTGTATATATATATATACACACACACACATATATATATATTCATACACATATATATATACATATACATACATACATACATATATATATGTATGTATGTATGTATGTATGTATGTATGTATGTATGTATGTATGTATGTATGTATGTATGCATGTATGTATATATATATGTGTGTGTGTGTGTGTGTGTGTGTGTGTATACTCCATTCGTCTACAAATAAACTTCTCGTTCACTATTCACAAGTTCAAACTTTATTCATTTTATTGGCCTATTTTCGTTACCCATTTGATAAAATAAAAGTCATGTCACCTCTAGTTTTGTAGATCTTTTAATATAATTTTTTATTATGTAATTTTTATTTTTAAATTTTATACCATTTTTCATATAAAATGATTTGAAAATAACTTCAATCAAACATCGTAACACGCAACGGGAAGTTTATTTGTGGACGGAGGGTGTGTGTCTATATATATATCCATATAACTTTCTCTTATGTTTACATTCATTGTATTGTGTGTTTTCCCCCCTTTTCCCCTCATATATTTCGGCCATATGACCATTGTAAAAGGCCAATTTGATGAATTAAAACCTTTACTCTTTGAGTACATTTTAAAATAGTGTGATGCTAATTTAGCTAAATTCCTAATTCTATGTCTTAAGAGGGTTATCTTAAGTGTGAGTTTTAGGTTCTAGATATTTGATTAAGTGCGTCATATCTTAATTAAATTCTAGATTCAAACCCAAAGTTAAGATTAGAGTGTGTCATATCTCTTAACCCCAATTTGGTTCCATTTCATATCCCTCCATTTCTCCTTCATAATCTTATTCTTTTCTTCCATTAAAACACCAAAAGAACTCCCCTTTCCATCCATTACTTTTCGGCCACCCTTAATTTCCCCTATACCATACCATATTTCCATCCTCAAACAGCAACTTGATTGTACCCTGGGTCTCGAGCCTAACAGAAAGTCTTTCACCACTCAAGAACCTTTTTGCATTAGGATTAACAGTAGATAGAGAAGTGGCGCCGCTAAATTTGTTTTTCTGAATAGCAAACAATTTGTACTAGCAACAAATTCATATCAAGATAAGAAAGACTTGAAGCATTTTCAAAATCAAGATGGAAGAAGAGAAAGTTAAAAAATTAAAGACTTCCGAGCTCCCAAGAAAAAATAGAGAGAAGAGAATTGAGAATAATTCTTTAATTGATTGCTTACTCTTTTAAATGTTTACATCCCCATTTATAAGACAAACGAAAACCATCCTAGTGGAGTCTTAATTCCTAGTCATGTCAATTCAATAAAAACACCAAAATAAATAACTAGAAAGAAATCTTGAAGAAACTTATAGTTTTGCTCACCTATTAAAAAAATATTACTCATTACGATATATGATAAATACAAACTAATAAATATATACGGAGTCGTTAAATAATCTAATCTACCATTCGTAACATCATTCCAATTTCTTCCGACATCTAAGTTCTGTTTTTATAATCCAAAAGAAGAAAGCTTATATGACTCATGATTAGAGAGAGAGTTTTTGTTTGACAATTGAATTTTTGTCATGGAATTAAGGGGAGAATGTATCTTGTTAAAGCTCAAATTCTTTTTTCAACATCCACACAATCGAAGTCTCTTGAGTATCCCAATTCAAAGAGTACTCAGTAAATACTTGTCGATAATATGCAACGGCAAAAGGTACCGTGGAGCAGATACGGAAAAGAACAGTTACCTAATAAGATATGGCGACTACGTACATTACAAATTAAGGTGGTCCTCTTTGAAAATGGTTAGTGTCATACTTGAAGTACACTATGCAGGTAGAATCCTATTTCAGCTCCTTCACAATGAAAGAAATCGCTGGCTTCACGATTCTCGTGGGCCATCAAAAGATTGAGTCTTCCTCACATTCCAATGAAGGCCATTGTGGATACTGTGCAAGAAGTCGGTGGTGGAGTTAGCTTCACAAGCAGTTGGAACTGGCCAAGGCGCCATGCTGCATATAAGTGCATCCCCAGGTGCAAGTTGTTTTCTGTCTTTACCGTCAAACGATGCCCACGCATGACCCCGGCTGTTAAATGGCACTACCACTCGGAGGGTCACGTGCTCGGGTAAGATCAGTGGTCTGAACGATAGGGAGTGCGGACAGATTGGTGTGAAAAGGATGCCAGGAACCTGGTCGATCAGAACAATTTTACATTCATACGCTCATGACTCATCATCTTAAATGGATGGATTTTGCAGTACAGACAAGAAGAATGTCTAATGAACATATATGATTCAGAGGATTCACATATAAATGCAACTCCACTTTAAGACCAGACTTTTTTTTTGGGACAAATATTTAAGATGAAGGTTGACTCTTAAATCCAGACTCTTTTCCCACTGGGGCATTAGTACATTCACAAGGTCATCACAATTTTAACCTTAACATATTGAAGACTTCTCTTCATGACATTCTTTCTTTTAATGGACTTCTCTCACCAGAATGAAACTCAAGAAATGTACTTCCATATCCAGATTACTTTAGCTTCTACAATTAAAAAAAAGCATACAAAGGTTTTCAAAAGTTACATCCAAATCCCAGGTGCACACCAAAAACTAACCGCTATTAACAATAAACACTCTTATATTAACAAAAAAGAACGTTATTTTACACAGTAACAAAAACAAAGCCATTTTTTAAACGTAACGGACATAGCCTTTAATAATAACTATAAATGAGTATACCTGAGGATGCACCATAGACCCCCCTGCTGCAAGTGAATAAGCAGTGCTCCCAGATGTTGTAGATAAAATCAAGCCATCCCCTTGGACACAAGTGACAAATGAGTTATCACAATAACATTCTAGGTTTGTGAGAAACGATGAAATTCCACGGTCAATCGTAACCTCATTGAGAACAAGAACATGCCCTTCAGTTTCAAATTCATTTTTAGCAGTATCTCGGATCACATGGCATTGCAGTCGATGCCTTAATGTGATGTTAATGGGACCACGAAGAGTTGAAGTCAGGTATTGTTTATATTGTTCACTATCTAAATGATGTTAAGGTAACTTTAAACTTGAGGTGAAGTTATTACTATCCAATACAACTCTAACATATGTATGCTAATCACCTAAGTCAAAATGAATTTGCTCCAAGAAACTAGAGTAGGATACGGAAAGGGGTCATGAAGCCCAGAGAGCCTAGGGAAAATGAAACAACAGGTGGGACCGGACCTTTGAACATTGATGCTGCCTGCAATTCCAAGTTCAAACAACATTATTAGAGAAAACATGATAACAAGATATATAGTTAGAGGTGACCCCCAAAGGGACCAAAAATAGTAAAATGAAAATAGAAAAGTAGATAAGGTACAAATATAGCACCCAAGATAGCCATTCATTCTTAACCACAATGGCTAGATATTCTTAATTTCTTTTCAAGCATAGGTCGCATAACATGATTTTTCAAGAAGAACATTTTCTTGCACACATTTAATAGAATCCATAAGCTTCACAGTTAAAATAGCAGCACACAATTTTTGAATGCCTAAAGTACACCCACAAGAAGCAACCCCAATGGGAGATGAACACGTGTTATTCACGGAATCAGTATTCAATTCTATTGCTTCTAACAGTTACACAAAATGAAAACACTAAAGATGGTCCATCAACATACCCAAAGGACAGTCCCATCTCCACCCAGAGTTACAACGAGATCAACTTTTGAGTGCAGGAGCAGAATCTCCTCCTCTGTGAAGTAACAAGCACAAACAAAGTTGCTTTATCAATGCTTTGACACATCTCAGGACATTTTGGACAAAGAAATACCAGCAACTTCTGCAATATATGGCATAAAGTGAAAGCAAATATCTGATCGAATGCAGCAAAATTATATTCCCTCCGTCCCACTACTTCTCTCATACCATATTTGGTAATATTTTTGTGGTTCACATTATTTCATATTCTGTCTTACTTCTTAACATCAATATCGACCACACAATCTTACTTTTCTTTATTTCAGTGACACTCTTTATTGTCCAACAAATAATGGGACAGAGGGAGTAACTGTTAACCTAAAAGGCTAAAAAGAGAAGGTATCATTTGTGGGTTTTAGGAATTGGGATAGCTAAGAATGCTCCACAGTTGCCTTTTGTATAGTTAGTTAAATTTAATTGGTGGTTTG